TTTTCCTACCTGAACCCACCCCACAACCCTCTAATCTTACCCCATCATCCAACCCAAATGAGGCAGATAGGGAAATATTACCAAGCAACCTTTCATTGATCATCTCTACCCGGAACATGTAAGATTTTTCGTTATACATCTAGATCAGTCAAATAAAGGAAAAGAATTGCTTACCATGTGAAGAGTAATGGTTCATCCATGTCATTGAAAACATTGACATGGACAAAATCATTGGTTGTAGCATTGATAAGAGGTCCTGGAAACATTCCATTGATGGTGATAACCTGTAAAAATAACCATGAACTTCACCTGTAAGTGACTGACAAACCAGAAATACAAAGCAACTAAATTACATTAAATATGCAGGAAGATTTTAACCAAGATAGTCATACATACAGGTTGATCCAGAGACACGAGTTTAATAGTATAGTCAATGGCAACATGCCACTCCAAAAAAATATCGATGCCATTAGCTTTCACGACAAATATGGCAAGCAGTGTTGTTATATAAACAGTTAACCACGAGAAATAGCCAGAAGAGGACATTGCAGTACTGATGAGAAGTTTATACGTTAAGGTCTGATCTATTTTAAGACCTCATCTACTATGTATGAAGAATAGTTCTTCTAGGTTATATATACATATATATATGTTGATATGCTTCCAAAGAAAATAAGCGAAGAAAACAAGCAGAAAGATATAGTAACTTACTCTTCATAGCTTAGACTATGTCAAGCCGGCAGGTCAGTGATTTACTATAGTATAGTATTGTTACTAAGAAGTCTTTTTTTCTTTTAAATCTTGGTTGCATAACTTAGGAATTTCCAAATTCTGTCATTTAATGCATAACTCGAATGAAATTAGCAGACTGGACGGCGAAATTGGTTCGTTGTCTTGAAAGAGACTAGTTCCTGCAAGAAGACAATATATGATCGATCCACCATTAAAGTAACTTTGAAGCTGTCATTAGAGGAAGAATTAGCTTAAAAAATGCTTCATTCAACCACCCTTTGCCTCCTCCAGTCATTCTTCAATACATCTACATGTATGTATGTATGTATATTATAAATATGAATATAGATTGTTTTCTTTTATGATTCTGCTTACACCTTTTAAAAAATGGATCGATCTTTATTTATTGTTTAACATGCTATCAAATTAAGGTCTAGTATTTGAATTTAGATGCATTTAAATGGGTAAAATTTTGCATGAAGGGATATATTAAAATATAAATAATATATTCATTTCTATCACAAGCTTTTTCTTAAAAACCAGTTTAATTTTATTATTTAGTAATATATATTCTCATATAGCCATCATTCTTGGTAAAATCATGGCAAATTAATCTTAATGCATCCCACAAACTCATAACAAGAAAGCTAGTAATGAGATTCTGAGATTCTTGAAAATTTCAAGAGCTTAGAAGAAACTGTTACAATAACCTTCAACTACACAAATCATATAAGCTATATAGATAATTGAACAGGCATGTACTCATATAAACCTGTGCTCCACATACTGGGTTCTAATTAAGAACATATATATCCCTGTTTTCTGTCAAGAAAGCAGATACATTTTTGTTTATAACTATATATATGAACCAAGATTCATCATTCTATGATCTACCCAAAATCCATGAATTCTTCCTACATGCCTGAAAAGCTGTACAAGTTCCTTTCCACATTTCTAGCGCCTTCAGGGGAAGGGAGTAGACTCAACGAATTAAAAAACAAGAGACAAGAGATAAATGTACAAGGCTGAACGGGGTGCCGTTAAGTAGCCACCAAGACTTCCAAAACTATGAGCATGAAAACCAATGGCTCTAATAGAGCCTTGCTAACACCGTATTGTTATCTACAACACTAGATTGAGAAGCATGTACAGAAAGATTCTCATCCATTTGATGTTGCTGTCCGCGATTGTAGAACTCCTATTTTGGTTTGTAAGTAATAAGCATTGTACCTCACTGACACTATCACGCCATCTTTAACCACAACAACTGCCACGATGTTCCCCGTATCCTTGTTTTTGGGTCAAATTTTGCCTCTTCACTACAGATGATCCTTTTTCCAAAAGACTCGGTACCTCCAATATCTGAAAAGAAACTAAACTAGTTAAACAGGTAAAAAAAAGCTAAAAATCCAAAATCTAACATGAATCATCCAGATACTCTCAAACATCTATGAAATACTCTCAAACATCTTAAACCCAAAAGAAAAGAAACTTTTTTATATTTAAAAGAAGGAGAAAATAAATCTTTCGCAAACAAAAGCAAAATGAAAACAGGTAGCATTAAATACTCCTAATCGTATGCATGAGCATCATTGTTAAAGGAATACATAGAAGATCCACTAAAAAGCACTTCGATGTAAGTTGAGAAACCCGATGAGAGATTCCGAATGTCTTGCAAAAATAACTTCCACACAAAAATTATATCCACGAAAGTACTTTTTATAATGCATGCCACCAAATGCCTTGGGTAATCAGGAAGTCGAAATGACAACTGCAATTTAACCATTCCTAATAAACTCGTACTGGAACATGCCATATTTAAACAGAAGATAGAAATCAGACATTTCTTGGAAATATACCTTTAATATGAGTTCCGCAAAGCATTGTTGCACGTTTTCTCTAGTTTTAGCACTGCATTCAAGAAACGAACATTTGTGCTCCTTCGCAAGAGCCATTCCCTCTTCTCTGGTAACAGCCCTTTCACTCTCCTTAAAGAAATGACAAAGGAATAAGTTACATCGTATTCAACAAAGCACAAATGATAAACTTCAAAGAGGAAACAAAGTGTGTTTGTTTTATTTTTAAACACAGGCAATTTAACAGTCAGGCAAGCACTTGTCTGTTTGTGTGTAGGGTGCAAGAAGAAATATTAAGGATATGTAAGTTACCCTGTCAACTTTGTTTCCAACTAAAATTTTGATGCAGTCACTGTTAGTTGAGTAGAGTTTCACTTCCTTTGCCCATATTTCGGACAAGTTTGTAAAGGTTTCTCTCCGCGTCACATCATAAACTAAAATGAAAGAAGATAAATGCAAATGCTAGAATTCAGGTTTAAGTACACCCCCAGCATCATAAACTAAAAATGGGAAAGCCAGTATATAATGTTCTAAGGGGTTTCCATCTGTAGAACTACAATGCTGCAAAGTTGCTAAACATCTTCGAAATAAATATGATAAAATCACAGCAAGGTAGAAAACATAAACTGCGATTATGTATAAGAAGTTTCTGAATAAATTGAATATATGCAACTAAGCGACTGATCATTTTAAATCACAAGCATTGCGAGAAAATTCAGTTCAACTAAATGCTCCTTGATAGATTTGCAGTATGAAAATTTTTAATATTTGCAAAGAATACCTAGCATAATTCCATGGGCACCTCTGTAATAAGAATTTATCAGAGTTCCAAATCTCTCCTGCCCGGCTGAGAAACAACAGAAAATGTTAATTAAAGGAAACAATTGAAAATGGCTTTGAACTTTCTATAAAATATTTATTGTCTGAACAGTTAAAAGTTCACATTTAATTCAAAAAAGAAATTGAGAGAATCGATTGATTGCTCATTTAACAAAAGCAGTGATCTTTTTGCATGCTCTTGTACATGACAGAATTATAAGGTATAAGCCCCTATATCGCGGCAGTACAACCAACCAAATCATGTTTTTCCCCTGACATACAGATTAATCTATCTACATGAATGATGAAAGTTTACCCCAAATTTTCACAGATTCTAATGGCTAAAGAACCATCCATATTTTGCTCCATTACCCCAAATTGCAAGTCATTGGTACTTTATAAGTCAAATATGCCACAAAATATGAGGCATCACATATCCCACTAAGCAAATTAAATGACTTATAAAAGGTGTACCATCTCCTGGAATGCAGTCATCTCCGTGCTCATCAACCCCTGGGATGCATAATCTATCCCCCACAGCTTTCAGTCATACATCAAATTAGGACCATTAACTTGACAGCTATTGCATAAGAACGTAAGATCTCAAATTCTCTTAGTATTTATTAGTCCTGTAAAGCTTTTACTTTAGAAGTTTTCGATTTACACCATCCCATGCAAAAAAAAAAAGAAACTTCTTGTAAATCATAGTAGTATAGTTGCTTTTCATGGCATCTCCTCATTATCTAAAAAATCTATAGCACTTACTCAGCTACTTAATTGGAAATTAACTAGCTCTATGACAGCAACCTGTCCATACAATCAGACCGGATTGTTGCTTAAATTGCATAATGACAGACATTATCTCAAAGTATGAATGATCTTTCTTTGAAAGAAAGGATAGGTCACAAAGTAGCTTAAAAGGAAATTGGAAGGAAATGAAAAACTGCTTGAAATTTAAAAGTGAAAGAACTTCATTAGGATGCAGAAACGTTATGGGTCAACATTCACATAAATTTCTCCAAATTGTCTCTTATTATTTTCTTCCTCTCCTTCAGATCTCCTTTCTTTCCGGACACTCTTGAAGAAACTTTTCCCAACTAACTTTGAATTAGTAAACTTATCTGACTGAATCCAACCAAAAGAGAGTTGTTTTTCGCCCCAACCATTTACTAATACTGAATATTCATGCTATATTTATTTCATTGAACCATTTTGGTTCAAAGCAGAACTTCATGTGTTTCTAGACAAACTCGTTTTACACCAACACCAGCATGCATAATGCATTACTAACTTCCACAATGTGATCCTCATGATGGGGACATAGGTAGCCTGATTGAAATTCTAACTTCTGATCTTTTCAGTAGTTCCCCCTTGGCTACCTGTTAGTAATACTTCTTTCAAAAATCTCTTTTCTTATCTTTAGAGAAGAAATCAACCTCACGATTCCTGTAGTTTAAAAATTCAACCAAAAGCACAACAAATGTTGGGATTAACGTCATTACCTGTATCCCAGATTGTAAGCTTCAATCTGTTCCCACCAACATTGAGCTGCTTTATTTTAAAATCCACGCCTATAAATTGTTGAAACAGCATCATAAATTCAATAACCATCAGAAATTAAACTAGAAGGCACTGAAACTACTAAGGCTACATTGTTTCAAATGTTAGTCTCTCATAATAGCAATAGGAATATAATAAAAATTAGATAAAGGTTTGGTGGGAAACAATATTCTAATTCTATATTAGATTCAGATTACATAAATGTGTGAGCACTAAGGAAATAGAAATCCATAATTATAGAATTTTAAAAACAGAAGGAAAAAGAAAAAAAATAAAGCTAATCTGAACCAAAAAGAGCATAATTGTATTTGCATTCAAAACAATTCCTTGTGAGATAAAATTCCTGCATTTCTATTTACTCCACTGATATGAGAAATCCTCCAATTTACAGTGCTGACGAAAAAAGAATGAAGCATTTATCTGATCATAGATTACTTAAAAACAAAATAAAACAAAAAAGGACACGATATTAAATACACGAATCTAATTTTTCTAAAAAGAGCATAACTTTGCAAATCATTAGTTTCTAAAACAAGTTGAAAAGGCCCAATCAATGCATTTCATAACAATCCAAGAAAATGAAATTCTCCGAAGTTGCAAATTGAAATAGCAGCATTAACAGCAGAGCACAGAGAAAAAGGAAATATGTGAATATTAACATATATGAAAATATTATTCGATATTGGTTGACAGAACAATGTCTACACTTCCTTATGAAGCATAGCCATATCCCTATATTTCTAAAAACCAATCAACAAAACTTGACCTGCCTACATATCCCCCCACTGAAACGACCACATCTTCTCAGTAATCACATGAAAACAAAAGCCAATCCTAGTTGCCTCGAGCTCCAAACAAGCAATTCTTCTGCATTGCAATTCATCATTTTCTCTAATAAAAACTGAATACCCCTTTAAAAAGTATTGCAAAGATTGAAATTCCACATCTTGAGAAGCTTTGCTAGAGACTAGGGTCATGCTTTCTCTTTTCCTTTACTCCCTCTATATGTCCATCACTGTTCTGAAGTTCTTATTGGTAAACATGAAATCCATCAGCTCAAGATTCCCAATAGCAATCAAATAAAAAATATAAAAATTGAAAAATAGAAGATAATAATATCAATATAGTAATCGAAAAAAGTAGACTGGTCCTGATCCCTACAGGCCAATACACAGAAGGAACTTTCCATACACCTTTCTTATTCAAAACCAGAAATAGCAAATGATAGGATCTCAATGGTGCTTTTAGAAGATTCACAAAAAGTCAAAACCCAGAAAAGAAAAAGGGTTCTTCAAATGAGAAAAAGAAAAACAAACTTTAAAGACAATATCACTAGCTTAAATTTATGGCTAAAAGCTTGACCAGTCAATCCAAAGAGGAAAAAAGAAACTGAAAGAAAATCACAGAGCATTCATCATTCAACTGTGGAGTCACCAAATTCCTTGAATGATTCTTGAGACCCAAGTGACCAAATCCCTTGAATGATTATTTGGACCCAAACAATAACTGAAACAAGCATTATCTTGAAAGAAAATCAGAGAGAGAAAAGAATACCAATGGTTGGTGAGAGGTCATGAACAGAGTTGGAGATAAAGCTGAGAAGAAGACTACTCTTGCCAACACCAGAATCACCAATCAACAGTATCTTGAAAGAATAATCATAACTACCGTGATTTCCTCCTCTAGAACCAGAACCCATCCTTCTTAATGTATACCCACATTAAAAAAAGAAACAAAAAGAAAATCCGTCTTCTTCTTCTCTCAATCTTCCCTTTTCCAGTCACTCAAAGACTATACCCATATCATTCCCCTTTCACCAGGAACACAAGAACCCAGAAAGAAGATGAGAGAGAGGAAAATGGAAAATGAAAAAACGAAAGAGAAAACAAAAGTGAGGAAATTTCCTGAGATAGTAAGTAAGTAGGGTTGACAGGTGGAGTCTTTGTGACTACACCAAGTCTATTTCTTCTTCTTCCTCCTCCTCTTTTTTTTTTCCCTTTGATTTGTCAGTCACAAATGGCTCAAACTTGAGACAAATGTCTCATTTTGCTGAAGCAATAAACCCTTTTTTTATTTTTATATTTTACTTCTGATTTTTTCAGGATCTGCCATGAATGATTTTGAAAGCTCCACGCGCCTCTTCAGGAGTTCTTGGTGGGGCAGGTTGAATTCTTTAAACTTGAAATGAAGAAAGATAAATTCCCATGCGCCGGATTTTGGCATTTAATGTTTTGTTCGAGATTTGAGTGGTCACCTTGTCGGATTATCATGCTGCTACTTTCAGTCTTCTCTTCTCATCATCCCCTCACTGTAAATATCTTTATAAATTCTCTCTTTTTCATTTCTTTCTATGGTTTACAGCAAATTTTGTTCATTATTATTGCATGCTGTACATTTTGTTTAACGTTACTTACCAGCTAACTTTAATTTCTTGCTTTTTAAGAAAAAATTAATCTTTCTTTTTCATTTTTTCCTATACAAAATTAATTTATTTTAATGTTTAAAATACTATTTTCTGTGCTCAATATTTTATTTAATAATAACATTAATTATTTTAAATCTTAATTTTATATTTATTAATCCTCATTTCCAACTCTATCATGTTTATGCATTATCAACAGATTTTGATCCGTATTATATATATATATATATTATGTTATTGTTTATATAAAAATAAGAATTAATTACGTAAGAGAAAAAAAAATTATTAAAAAAAAGAGTTTGCCGCTTCCGTTACGTACCAACAAAATTGACACGTTCATGATTTATTGGTGGGGAGGTGGGTCCCACAGTGTCGCCATCACGCACGGATATGATTGTTAGATCAACGGCGTGATCTCTGAGTCAACATGTCCACGTGGCAATATATTTGTCTAAACGTTGACACGTAGCATGTGCTGGTCCGGAATCATTGCGTCCTTTATTGACATTCTGGTTTCGTCCTCGGGATTCGTTGAGAGCTGTCGTTTTGACTGACGAAACGAACCGTTTTGGATTTTATATTTATTTTATTTTATTTTTAATTTTGATTTTCAATTAAGAAAAGTTTATATCAGTATATAAATTTATAGGTACGGGATGAATATGTATGCTCCGACATCTGCAGTAAAAATATAAATATAAATATATATATATATTTGGGATATCTGAATTAGGTGAAAAATTTCTTTACCCATCATTTAATTCATAAGTATAACATTTTTCTATATTTGTTAATTAAGAAATCATATAAAATTAATTAAAATAAAATATAATTTAATAATTTAAGATAGTATTCGAGTTATTTACAAACTTACACACCTATTAATTAAATTGTAATTAATTTAATATCAAAATAATTAATCCAAGTAAATTAATAAATAAAATTATAAATTTATTAGTCATATATGAAGTGGTCGAGATGGGGTGGGGTGCAACGTGAATTTATTACATCATACTCGTTTCTTAGTTGTTTTGAGTTTCTGATTTTCTAATGCACATATTTTATAATCAATTTATCGTGAATTTATATGTTGAATATTATACACGTTGAAAATATAAATATTTTTGTTACGTTAATATATTTTTTATGTTTATACTTGTTACACTTTTAAATATGTTGAACTATTATTCAAATCAACAAATGAAAAAATGAACTCGTACACATAATGATTTAGATATACATCGACACCAATGAATAAAAGAATTGTCACTCGATCAAAAAATATCTCGAACTCTTTTTGTATTATTTATCAACGAGTCATCACGAATAATTGGTTTAGAGAAATACACATAAGAAGAATTCGTCGTCAAATACAATATATATATAAAAAAAAAGACATACTTGAAAATTCATATAGAACTTACTGTGAAAGAGTACGAATTAAATATATTATGTTATAATTAGAGGCAAATTATATTATACAGAGCACAAAAAACTCTATCAACAAATGTTATTAAACTCAAAATTAATATGTATAAAATATAATATAATAAAACTAAATAACAAGACACTAAAAAAACTATATAAGACGTATTATTTAAAAAATTAAATTTATTTTTAGATATTTAAATATTTAAATTAATTATTATAAAATATTTTTTGCTCTTTCGATCTCTCTATTTTCAAAAATTATCTACATTAATTTTTACTCGGTAACTATATTAACATTATTAATAATTTTATTAATATTTAATATAGAAAAATATAAAATAAGTTTTTCTAGTACGTATAAAGGAGGAAATGATTTTTTAAAATCAAATTTTAATAAATTTTATATCTCAAATATCACTTAGTAAACTTACTGTCACATATTAAATGTACAGATATATATATATATATGTATAGATGTTGTGTGGTTAAATATTAAGATTCAATTGAAAAGTGGTACAGAGACAGAATTTTGCAGTACTGAACTGGATCTAACCTTTGCATGCTCGCGAGTCAAAGTGCGGGGGTTGGTCAGCCAGAGGTATTTTAACATGTGGAGACGCAGTATCAGCAGTTTGGAAATCACAGTGGCTCAATTCCACATGATCACAGATTAGATTCATGATCCACCGGGACCCACATTACACGTTACTTGTCTTACCGGTAAAGCATCCGATGGCTTGGCTAATCAAATAAGTTGTCAATTCCATTTATTATTTGTGTGTCGATTACTTGTTGATTGGGTTACCAGTTGCAGAACCCATATATATACATACATATATATTTTTAGGAATGGATTAGAGGGAAGTGCATTTTTTTTTGTATGGTGCTATTATGGGGTTAGTAAAGATTTTATTTCTTTCCAAGCCAAAATCTTTATTATTATTATTTTTATACAGTGTTGGATTTTATTGGTAGATAAATATATCATATAAATACGTACATACAATTTTCAACTTATATATATATATAAAATTAAAAAAGCTTTAAAAATATATATTGAAGTACCAAACAAACCCTTGTTAATATGTCGACGCCGAACTCGTTTGGCTTTTATCTTCGTCCTGCAACTCAGGTCTCTGAGGAAAGACCACGAGTTCTATCTTCTTCAACAGAATCTCGAATAGTCCTCTTAAAAATTATATAAAAAGAATTCACAGCACTGAAAATGTCGCAGTAACATTTATTCAGTGTGGCGCAAAACAGTGTCCATCAAAAACAAAAAGAACAAAGAGGATCCAGGTGGTAAAAACCTAGGCAAATCCGAGTCATAATAATAAAATTTTAACCTTTTTAGTTTTATTTTCTTGAAAATCCAAAAAAAAAAAAAAAAAAACCCAGAAATTCCTTGCAATTGAAGTTACCCTTTTCTTCTTTTCGTTGTTTCTTCTCTATCAATCAAAACCCATATACTTTCTTTACTCGATTTCTCTCCTCCCCAAGGAAACCCTAAGTCTCCGTACCCGAGAAATTTCAAACCTTTGCTGTAGAGACCAGCGGGGAGAGTCATGGGTCGTGACACATTGGCACTAACGCCGGCGGCTGTAAAACCTCCGAGCAATACAGCGGCGGCGGGAACGGCACTGGCACCTGGGTTTCGATTTCACCCGACTGACGAGGAACTGGTGAGCTATTACTTGAAGCGAAAGGTTTTGAACAAGCCCGTCCGTTTCAATGCTATCGGGGAAGTCGATATCTACAAGCACGAGCCTTGGGAACTCGCAGGTTCTCTTCCTTATCTATGTCTCTCCATAGATTGTTTTCTCTTTCTGCTTACTGTAAAATTTTTAGGGTTATTTTCTTGTTCTTTTGTTACTCTTTTTCATTAGACAGGGAACTTGGGCTTTAGTTCTCTCTTTTTCTCAATAGACTGACGAAGTGATTCTCTCAGTATATTGTTTCGATTGGGTTTTTCTCCCTGTCTGCTTAAATTTTTCCTTTGTGTTTTGCTGTAGTTAGAGTGCAGAGCTACCTTGCTTTTCATGGGGGGTTTTTTCTGCTTCTGATTTATTTTGAGGTTTTTTTTTTCCGTTATGTTTTCTTTTTAGGGGGGAATATCGATTTTCTTTTTCTTTTAGCCAGTTTTCTTCTCTTAGCGGTTTTATTTTTCTTCTTACTCCTTTTTCAAGCCATATAGTTTCTGGATATAGTCCCTGAGGTTTTAGGTTTTGGCTTTTTGTAAATTGAGTACTGTTTGACCAATTGTTTTTTATGGGTTTTAAGATTATTCAAGGTTGAAGACAAGGGACCAGGAATGGTACTTCTTCATTGCATTGGATAAGAAGTATGGAAATGGGGCAAGAATGAATAGAGCAACCGGGCAAAGGCTACTGGAAGGCAACAGGCAAGGACAGGGAAATCCGTCGGGATTCCCAGCTGATTGGGATGAAGAAGACCCTTGTTTTCCATAGCGGGCGTGCCCCAGATGGGCTCCGAACGAACTGGGTTATGCATGAGTACCGGTTGGTTGAGGATGAATTGGAAAGAAATGGACCTGCACAGGTGTGCCTATAACTAATTATTATGGCTGGTTCTTGTGTGTTAACCTCTTGTTTGGTTGCAGGGAGGAATTCAGTAACTCCAGGCAACTCCTCTCTCTTCATGCAATAAATTTTGATATTATTGTTTTGGTAGTGATAAAAAATTCACTTGATTTTAACTGAGATTTTATATGCCAAGAGCATTTGTCAATTGAAGAACAAAATATTTGTTTTTATGTAGTAGAGTCAGTAGTTTCTGCTTCTTCTGATATGAAGCAACGAATGAAGAGAAAAGAAGAGTCCAACTCCATATTTTATGTATACTGCTGTTATAATGACATTGCAACGATTCTCTATCTTTGAGTTTAATTCTCGTCAACTGGTAACTTAACAATTTGTTTTTTTTTTCTGTAAAAATAATTTAGATATTTAATTCTTTCCCATTCCCAATATTTGTTGTCAAGCAAACAGCAGTCTTGTTTAGTTCTGACAGCTAGAAACTTACGACAAATTTATTTATTTTCTTACTTTTGTTTTGGATGGAGAAGGATGCATACGTGTTATGCAGGGTGTTCCATAAGAATAATATTGGACCACCTAGTGGGAATCGATATGCACCTTTTATTGAGGAGGAATGGGATGATCGTGCAGCAGCTGTGATTCCAGGAGAAGATGCTAGGGATGATCCACCAGCTGGTGATGATGCTAATGGCAGTAATGATGTTGAACAGGTTTGTACACTATGGTTTTAAACTTCTCATAAATACTAATTTGTGTTTCCTTCTTACTCAAACTGTATTTCTTCGTTGTTGTCGTACTTGCTAGAATGGAACTTTTGATTTCTTAAAAGCCTTTTACTGCTTTTTCTTTGGTATGTCAAAAGCCTTCTATGCTTTAACCACAAGTAATGATGATTTGAAACCTTAATAATGTACTTTACCTGCAACAGATTTATTATATTCATCATACATTGATGGTTTTGACCTCGGGAAA